TGATTACTTGTGCACTTTGCTGTCCAGGTTATATGCAGATGTTGAAACCCTTTCGAAATGAATGAATTCAGTCTAACCTGTAAAATAGGTTTATGTTGCGTTGTTCAATTTTATCGAGAGAGGTAACTGTATGTAAATCCAGAGTGCCAAGTAGTCACTGGAAGAATTCCACTAAGATTTGAATTTAAGAACCATCATATCTCTTACTTTTTTTCTAAAATTCGTCTCGAGAAAGAAATTTTTCAGAAGTTGTATTTTCATGGAAGCAATTTAATTAAGATGACAGATTTCTCGAACCAATAAAAATCTCATAATGAAATAAAATAAGGAGTAAGATCCTATTAACAAGAGTGCGGTTTTTAATGAACAAATTTCATATGATCACAACAATATGTGTGTGTGTGTGTGAGATAATTTATCACTCAGTCACCTGGAACGGAATTTTTCCGTATCAGGCTATGAAGCACATTTATCTTGTGAAGACTGGCGATACTAGACAGTTGCCCAAGTTGAAGTACGATTCCAGCCCAGGAATCAATGGCTGAAAGTCCAGTGAGCTAGATCTGTACAAGGGGATTTATTAGATTTCAAATACTTGTATTCAGTCAATGTTACTTGAAAGGTTACTCCTGAAATTGTTTTTTCTCACTGACCACAGTAACTCCTTAGGGAAACTTGAATATTCACGTGGCAAATGGCTAATCAGTGTTTAAATCATCTTTGTCAGAATAATCAGTATGCTTTTATGAGTGATTAGTGTACAACTAATAAGTTTTGAAATAATAAAGATTTGTAGCTCAGATGGATGTCTTTGATCTGGTTGTGTTCTCTGAGCTGCGTCGGGCAAGTGGTTAGGACTCTCGCCGACCATGCACATGGTCCGGGGTTCGAGCCCCTGCCGACGCACACCTGATATCTACGGTCGGCCTGCGAAATTTGGGCTACCGATATCACATGCTGAAAATTCCATATCTGTACCAAAAATTACAGTGTGAAATCAAGCTGTAATCAGAAATTAAATTAATTAATTGCGAAGCTTTCCTCGTTTCTCTAGACAACATCTTCAGAGCAAGCTTTGATATGAAGGGAATCTTTTTGAATTCTCCATGAATGATATAATTGTATCTCCTGACAACCTTTCTCGTTATTGGTTGTTAATTTATATCTTTATTGACTTTTAATTTCAACTTTTTGTCATGTGACTTATCCTTTATTAGTTGATAAATTTGACCTATAGCAATGTATCGGTTAATCGCTGACTCATCTGAGTACCAGGCTTCTTGGAAATTCATTGACATTTTAGGTGTTTCCACTGCTTAAAACTTGTACATTTTTCTAATCAAATTGGTGTCCATAATTGTCTGCATGCATCGATATAATATATTACATGTAGTGTCTTTTCACAGTTAACTTATGTTCTTGGATTCTGAGTTAACGGAGACGCCTAATTTGACCAATGTAGTGCTTATCACAGTTTACACATTTTGTTTTGTAGGTTGGTATTGATCTTTTCTACTTTTGCTGTGGGGTCTACTGGTCTTCAAAATATTGAATGAAGTGAATGCATTGCATTGGGTGTTATTTCTGTTTTAAGTGGTTTTATTATTCCACCCGTTATTTCAGAGATATTCTTCTGGTTTTTGAGAATGGATAAAATTGTATGGGTATTCATTTCCCATGAAGATAGTGAATATTACTCTTCAGCATTGAAGTGCTACAATGTGTTTGAAACCTTTTCACTTCAAATCAAAGCTCACGTTGAAGATGCTGTCTAGAAGGAAAACGAAAGCTTCACAATTAAACCAACCAGCTCAGAGAATGCAACGAAATCACAAACTAATAAGTTTCATTGGTGAATGGTGACTAGCAATGCAATCCAGAATGCACATTTCATCCTATACGGGACTCGTTATCTGGATTTGCCTGCATTCCGCAGTGAGTGATGATGTTCCCACCGAGGCTCAAACCCAGTGCCCATAGTTCCAGATGACGAGTCCCAAATGGGACGAAATGCGCATTATCCTGGATTCCACTACTAGTCACCATCCATCAATAAGCATAATTACATGTCCAGATATCATCAAAGCATCTGCACAAGAAGCCAACATGTCAACCTGAGACCAAGCACTTCGGTAAACAGGAAAATCTAAAACTGAATTATACTAATAAGTTTATTTCAAAGGATTTATGCACATTCTTATCCAAACTACATTTCGGCATCTTGCCGCATTTTTCTCGAACAAATACAACTCATATTTAATGTGCAATCCATTGGAAACATATTCCATGATAAAAGAATGTCCTTCAGTATACTTTTTATTCGTTTCTAACGTCTAGTAGGCAGTACAGTTCCCCTTACGTGAGCCAGACTATTAATCATTAAAGTTATATCGTGTTTGCATGATTAACTGTTGGCACTATCATTATTCTCAAATCAAGCACCACTGTTGATTATTTCAGATGATGGTTACTTGTATGCAACACATTTAGTGGATCAGCTGACGATTAACTGTGAGCTTTTAAGCACACACGTTTAAAACACTGTTCTGCAAAACCTACATTATCACTTACCCTGATAAAATAGATGTAACTCATAGGTTAGTGGATGTAAATTGACATAATACTACTGACTTAGAATTAAGCAGTAATTAACTAAAAGTATGTATTTCTGCTGCAATCTATTGTTTCTGGACTTGATAGAACAAAGTACTAGCATATTAATAAGATAAGTAAAAATTAAATGCACTTATCGTCACATGAAATAACCAACTATGAAAACAAACTACTGACGATTGCATGAATGACCGGCACTACCAACGCTGTCATTAGGTGAAAAGCCTTTTTCTCATCCTTATAAATGATGGCATGATGTGACCTGATAATTCGTTCGCAAAAACCAATGAACAAATTCCTGACTATTTCATAATATTTATCGTGTAATGCACTCTTATCATGCTGATACTCTATTGATTTGGTATGAGTCTTCGACTCAGTGCTAAGTTATCTACGGGTGGTACAGCCCAAGAATTTGACGTGATACTGTGATGAGAGCTGTCTACAAGCCAAAATTGTAGACAACAATTTACATCAATGTTTACGTTCCGAATCGAGGTCATGTGAAAAAAAAACAATAACAAAGCTTAACCCTGAGGAACTCACCAACCAATCACAGCAGACTTAACGTGTGCAAAATACGATTCGCAGATATATGCCTTAACTTTCTAAGAAACGGCCACAAAGAGATGACAGAATACAGAATTCAGCAAGAAAACAACCAATCTGCCAACAATAACGCTAATAATTATGTACATAAAAATCCACAAATATCTCTTGATTTTCTAAATAAACGATCTGTTGCCTGGCCCTTGTCTTCTGTCGTCACAATACATCATGCATTGAGGACATTCAAACACAATGATATTATTTTCCTGAAATGTGTTTCAATTGTAGTCCTGATTATCTGGAAAAAATTAGCAGCTCACTAGATATAGTCAGCCGTCTAAAATGTAAACATACATACAGGTATGTTGGCTTACATTTTAAAGCCCTGGGTCTTATCTCATAAGACTTAAAAACGTTTATAGCTTAAGTTGACTAAGTTAGCTCCCAGCGACTCTCTGCGCCACTTAACCACATAGAAAAATCAATCATTATGATTTTAAAATGATGCCAATGTATTTATTTGAAACCATGTGATTATAAATTGAGTTGTTCTTTTTCTAACTTTATAGATAGATTACTTGTATCATTTTGTTGTGTGAAAAAATGATGGTGGCGGGTATTGATTTGCTTCAGTTTTCATTGACAGCATAAATAACCACTAAAAATGTATTCAGACAAACTGTAAAGAATGCTAATAAATACACTATACAATCCAGTCACTTGGTATCATTGACTTACACTGTGCACTTTGATCTCTAATCTTGAGTGACTACTTTTGACAGAACTTGATATCATTTTTGTGAACGAATATTAATGTTTATTAAGTATGCTAAGGAATTATAAGATATGCGATTTCGAGTTAATTTAAATAAGTTATTCCATATTATTCCAAGGAGAAGGTGTTTCAGGAATTCCTTCGATAGGGGCAAGTACCGCATACAATGAACAAGTAAATATGTGAAGGAGAACAACCTAATGAAGTACAGTCATACTGATAAATTTGAAGATAATAAGTAGTGGAAGCATTTAAATTCGACTAATTTGTATCCTAATTTGTATTATGCCTTGCGTTTTGCTTGGATCAAGAGGATACTAGTAACCAAAGGACAAATGTACTTCGTTGCACGTGGAAAGGGATATGCCCATTAAAAATAGGGAACTACAAACGATACATTGCTATTGGGTGCTATAATCTTAATGCTAATCAAAGAATACGAGATAAGCACCTAACTGATTACAATATCATTTACTGCAATTGCTGCTGTCCCAAAGGTTTCGAAGCTTTCGTTTCAAAAATCTGATTAAATATATGATTTATTTGCGAAACAGACGTCTGTGACACATCGTAGTCGAAACTACTAGAAGACAAATTTTGCAGTGTATCATCTCGAAAACAAATCATGAAGCAGAAAGAGTTTATGAACAAGATAACTGGAATGGAAACTAGAACTACTCCACTTTCCTAGAGCTAAAGTTCACCGAAACTAAACTTATGGGCAACTTGTTCAGTACTTAAAGTGCTTCCGGTTTATTTTCTGGTCGAAATGATGCGAATAATCACAGAGATTGCGCATCCAAATTTCCTTCATTATAATAGGAAATTTGATGAATTTCACCCATGGTTACCTAAAATAATAAACTGATTGGTTTAAATTTGACCACTTGAGTATTAAGTAAGTAATAGAATGTAAACCAAGGTGGAAGATAAATATTAACCACATCCACTGAATTTAAATAGCAATTTCGCATATTATGACTTTTAAAAGTTACTTAGGCAGGCTTCACCTTTTGTTCACATCTCAGTTTCAAAGCAATCTTTGTGTTACTGAACCACTCACCCGCAACAGCATATTTCACAAATGCATTGCAATGCTGGCGGCATATTCTATGTACCACGAATATAGGTAACTACCACAAAAATTTTAAATATTCTCAAGAATCATATGGACTAGTAAAACAATATTCCGTTTCAAGTCTCAAAGTAAGTGAGAAGAGTACATCTTTTACTTCATAGAAAAATTCATTCATCTAGCAACTAAGAAAAATTACCTTCTGAAGTGATTTGTACTTCTCAGCAGGGCGTAGGGTAATCATTACGAAGACAGGAGATCAAGCAGGGTTGTTGTGACGCTGCACCTTCCCAGTACCAAAATGAGAATAAATCTAAAATAAATAGGTTAGTGGTACAAATATAAGACAATGTCATTGTTTCATAGGCACATATCTTGTCAGTGAGTATGTGACCGAGCAACGTTTGTTCTTAAAATCTGCGGTAGTTAAAAGCAAAGTTTAGAAATCCCTTCTTCAGTCTTTCCTGACCACAAAATACAGCTGACATTTCACAATTCGATTGCAGCTTAACAGTCACATATACTGTTCCTTAGATTATATTTATGAATAAATGAGTTTTGGTAATAATTCGTTAAGTTAGCTACGCAAGTACTCGGTATTTGTGAACATTACTGTAGACAGCTGCTAAGAATCAACTACTTGAACTGCGTTTTACAACGCTGGCGACTCTTCTAGACTTCAGGTTCACAATAATTTTACGAGATGGAGAAAGACCAGTGTATTATCTGACGAGTAAACTCCTAGAATCTTTGTAAGACAAAGTTGAGTCGATTATGAATTCCTAAAGTTACTTGTAATGGAGCTCTAGAATCAAAGCAACATTTAAATTTCCCATTTCAAATTGAAACATGAACCTCTTGCTGAAGGTAAATTAATTAATTTCTCTCTGTATTCAAATGTCACAGACACTATGCCTCTATCATCCCCAAAGTCCGCTGTATTACATCCTGCAAACGTTTGGTTGGATTGATAAGGACGTCCAAACTAGTAACAGGCTGCGTTATTAGCAACCATTCAAAGTCTGCTTGATTCCTCAGCTTGCTTCTTATGAGAGAACACACAACGAGGTGAGATGAACAATTTTATTTGCATAAGGAAGCATTCGTTTGCTATGGGAACAAATCAACAGGTGATGCATACACAAGCCAATTATGTAGATGTCCTAAAGAACAAATCCATTAAAGACGTGACTATCTGGTCAAAGAGACCTTTGATTAGTCTATTTCTCAGAAGAGCTAGCGGTCACATATTATACTGCATCTGAGCAATTCAAGTGACACGCCACTGAAACAATTTGTCGGTACTATCCTAAGTTCCGAACTGCAAAATCGATGAGGCACTCATCATTCGACTTCTACAGTGACCCTTTGGAACTACTTTTGATATGACTGTGCGCATTATTCCTTTCATACAGTAGGCGTTAGCTAGTAGTGGGACGTTAAGTAAGTGATTTTAGCCAAAGTAAAATAGTGTTAGTACCACTGTGTTTCACAGTGTGAAGTGTTGGTTTCAAGCTGAATATTTCCGAAAGCTTTATGAGGACCAGGTGCTATTGTGTGAAGGCAGCTAGGAGATATTTTGTTACTTTTCCCTGTGTCTGAATGTTATATTTACCAAAGTAGGAGTGCCGAAAGCGTATTTATAGAAAAGTTGATTGTTCTATTTTCGGTGACAGATATCAACCCAAGTCACCTGTCAGAAGCCTCCAGAAATACATTATTCCGCGTGCGGAATTTCGGACATAACGGTCCGTCTCTAGGGTCTATACAACACGGCATTATTTTGCCACTCAGGTGTCTCAAGTAACTGAGGAACTCAGAAGGATGGAACGAGCAACGAAATACGGAATATATCTTCTTAATGCCTTGTAAGGTTTCTTTTTCCATTGAATAAAGAGTGCACTTCCGTCTGTTTGAATAGGTATTTCCCGCTTCACTTGCCCTCTGACGTGCTTTTGCCAATAAAAGTTCATAGACACCATTAGTCTTGTACAATATTACGGGTCATCGATCGGTGATCTGAGTAATCGCTTGAATAGAAAAGTTGGTTTTTAAATTGGCGAACCCATTTTTGCCCATATTTCGCTTTCTATTCCGATATAGTTGACTATAGTCTTTATATCTATCTTCCTCTTGGTTGTTTGCCATATTTGTTCGCTTTTTCCCTACTACGTATTTTTTCGTTCAGTATTCTTATATACTATAATGTCTTATTTGCCAAACTATAAAGAGTACTTCTGTGGGGGTGGATACTTTAGTAACTTCCAAAGTTAGGTCAACCCGAATTTGGTCCACATGATCTGGAACTGTGGTCTGCTCAGCTACAGTACTACTTTGACCAGTGTAGCATTAAATGCGAAACCACTATATACATGTATGTTTGTCCCCATATACCTCATGGGACTAGCAAAGAGGTGCTGGACTTCATACTTCACCTCCCCCAGAGAGCAGCCATGCATAGTGCTTAAGTTCGAGGTGATAAAACGCCTCTCCCCGTCAGAAAACCAGTGTATACAAAGATTGCTTCGAGGGAAGAACGTGAGAGATAGATCCAAATCACAGTTCTTGCACCGCCTGCAGCAGCTTGTAAGGGACAGCACTAGGAGAAGTACTTGAGTAGCGTTGGTTGCAAGCCCTCCAGGAGTATGTGCAACAAGCCCTAGGCGAATAGAATCCTGACTCTCCTCTCAAACAGTCAATAAACATCGCTTTTAGCATTTTGGAGGGGATATGACTTACAGAAGAGCATATTAACCATATGAGGACGAGTAAAGACCCAATAATCTCAGAACTGGTCACTGAGGCTAGATCGCTAATGGAACAACCAGCGCAAATGCAGCTCACACAGGGCTGGCTACGTAGACCAACCGGTCAAAAAGTAGACCCAGGAAAACTAGATAGACAGACCAATCCTGTTGGTATCACTGGAGGCTTGGTGCACAGTCAAAGAAATCCACACAACTATGCATCTGGCCTAAATCACTTCACAAGTGACGGGGAAAAGATTCACCTCTTCCCAAATAGCGATTTTTGGGAATTGGCACCCGGAAAGTCGCCTATCCTATGTCAAGGACAAAAATTCTGGTATAAACCTCTTGACTGATACAAGACCTTCATCCATCATCATGCCAACAGCAAAGGTAGAGCCAGGATGACAAAAGTCCCACATAACGGTGCAGGCCGCTAATAAAACCTAGATGGTGACACTTGGGCAAAAAACACTGACTCTTGACCTTGGGTTTAAGCGATAGCTATCATAGGTAATCACTGTCTTCAATTTAAACCTGGTAACCATCGGCATCGACTTCCCAGAAAGATATGACTTATTATTGGATACTCCAAAGGGACGTTTAACAATGAGAAAACCTCCTGGCATACGAATGACCAACCAAACGAGTACCATTCGTTGAATCTAGTCCAATCTCAACCAGTATCCACCGAAAGGTTCCGGAAAATACCAGCGAAATTCCCAACTCTTGTAGCAACCAACCCTCAAACTTCTGAGGCTTTCCCAAAAACTGCTCATTGTATAAGTACATATAGCCCCCTTGTATTCTTTAAGTCAATGAGGCTGGCTTCGGACAAGCTAAAAATAGTAAAAGCTGAATTCGATTATATTCTTCAGTTGAGGATTATTCAGACTTCAAGGAGACAGTGGAATTTGCCCATACACGTGGTGCCTAAGAAAAATCAGACTGATGGGCACCCTTGTGGTGATAATAGAGCATCAAGTAAGCAGACTGTTGTAGACCGGTAACCAGCACCACATATTCAGTACTACACTACAAGTCATCAAGGTGCCACAGAATTTACTTAAATTAACTTAGTTCGAGTCTATCACAATCTTCCGGTGCCTGAGGAAGATATGTCTAAAATAAGCATAACAACCCCATTTGGATTATATGAATTTGTGCAGATGCTGTTTGGTTTCCGGAATGCTTCACAAATTTTCCGAGGATTTATGGATGACTTGCCACGTGAACTGCCGTTCGCCAACGCATAAATAGATGACCTTCTCATCACTAACCCGGATATAAACACATACGAAGATCTCATTCGGGCAGTAATGCGCAAACTGGAAGAGAGTGGCATGACAATTAATCATAGTAGGTGAGGTATTGGGGCAAAAAGAATAGAATTCCTGGGGCATGTCACCGACAATGCCGGAACCGCACCAATGCCTAAAGACGTAGGCTCCATAAAGCAACACCCTCACCCACATACCTTACGAGACTACTCAGTTTTCTGGGGTTGAACAATCTCTATCGACGCTTTAAACCTAATCGTACCCAGTATATACACCCCCTGACCGATGCATTAAGGAGAAAGCCAAAAGACTTTTAGTTGTCCAAAGAGGCATCCGATACAATTCCACAGTTGAAAGAAGCGTTGACAAGAGACGCAACCCCGAAATATCCTGATCCAGATGCTCCTCTTACATTAATGGTAGAAGACTCAGGCAAGACTGTGGGAGCAGCTCTAAAGCAGTGGGTATAAAATATACGGGAACTGATGGCACTTTTCTCCGACTGGCTATTGTGCCGGTGCAGTCTAAACTGGGCTTGATGACAACAAGAAGAATGAGTTACTCAGATTTTTTTCCTGATATTTTTTGAATTTTTATTATAGCTTGATTCCACACCGTATTTTTGTTACAAGTATGGAATTTTCAGCATGTGATATCGGTAACCGTAAAATCGACAGATACCTAGTTAAGGAGAAGTGGAGAGACCTCGTGTGAGTCAGTTCAATAGAAATAGCATATGTTAATGTCTACTGTCCGGCCAGAGTTTTCCACCAGCTACGCCAGGGGTTATTTTTGAAAGACTGCCAAGATTCTGTACACCGCATGCCATCCCTTCAACCACAACTGCTTAGAATATGAGTCATCAATTACGAATTTGGCAGCTAGCTGTTTTATTTGACAGAACACTTGTGTGGGCCTATTACCAACAAGATACATTGTTGTTGGTCTGTGAGCGAAAGATGTTTGCTGAAAGCAGCTTCGGGGTGATCGTAAATATTTGGTGCTGGATCACACGAGACATCAACGTA